CTCTACCATTTGTTTTAAAAGTATGACTTTCCAGTAAAAACTGTTAGTTGCCAAAGAACTTCCTAACTTTGCTTAAATTCTAGTACCTGAAAATGTTTTTTCTTAAGCCATAAGCTGGCATAAAAATTTTAAGAGGAAAAAAAGAAATCTGATGACTTCCTCAAACCCTTGACTTTTTTTTTAAAGTAGCTGATTAATTAGTTACTATTAACATGAGCTCTGTTTCTAAAAGGAACAGCGAGGGTTAGAGGGATACGATTAAACATCTTTGAGTTTGGAGATGCAAACCAGACCCACATGTGCACACTGGCTGTTGTATTTTCCATCTGACAAAAAGCAGGACGTGGGAGACCGTGACAGGCCTAATTCGGCTGGATTAAGCTGATTCTGTTTTCTTGGAACATTTGGGTGTCAACATTCAGGCACATGGTATTAATAGATTAAGAACAAAAACCAACCGGCCACTTAGGTGGATGCTAAAAAAGCATTCCAAATCCAACACCCCCTTCTGTGAATAAAGACAACAACAACCGTTAACGAACTAGCCTAGCAGGAAACTTGTCCGGTCTAACAAAGGGCCTGGACAGAAGGCCCACAGCTAAGTCATACTCAATGGTGAAAGACTGGCTGCTCTCGCCGAGGACAGGAGTCCTCCCAGGATGCCCACACATGCCACTTCTCATCGCCAGCATGCTCAAGGCAGTGAGGCAAGAGCAAGACAAAGAAAGACATCAGACGGGTCTGGGCTACAGGAAATCCGAAGGAAACACACACACTCTTAGAAGTAATAAGCAAGGTCAGCAAGATGGTATGGTGTAACATCAATGTACAAATATCATTTGTGTTTCTATACAGTAACAATCTAGAAAATGAAACTAAGCAGTTTCATAGAGGTATCAATAAGAATAAATTACTTAAAAATTCATAGTGGTAGCAATAAGAATAAATTACTTAAAATAAACTTAACAAAAGAAGTGCAAGACATAACAGAAAACCACAAAATAGCATCGAAGGAAATTAAAGTCTACTGAAATAAATGGAAAGATATCCTTCATTCACGGATTGGAAGACTTACTGTTGATTAGACAGCAATAGTTTCCAAATCGGTGTACAGATTCAATGCAATCCCTGTCAAATTCCCAGCAGGACCATTTTGCAGAAATTGGCAAGCTACTACCCTAAAATTTATATTTTATGATGCAAATGCCAGGGATGCAGACGAATCAAAACAGCCTTTTAAAAGGGGGACAATTTTGGAAGAGCCTCACTTCACAGTTTCAAAACTTACTACACAGCAACAGTAACAAAGACAGTGTAACACTGGCAAGAGGACAGACATACAGAACAATGGAATAATTGAAAGGCCAGAAATAAGCCTTTAAATTTATGATCAATTAATATTTGAGAAGGATGCCAAGACGCTTCAATGGGAAAAGAATAGACTTCTAACAAATAGTCCTGGGTCCGTTAGATACCCACAGGAGTATGAATCTGGACTCCTGCCTCAGGTCATATATGAAAATTAATTCAAAATGGAACATGGATCCACATATACTAGTAAGAGTTAAAACTATAAAACTCTTAGATTCAAATATAGGAATAAATCTTTATGACCTTAAGTCAGGTAATAGTTTCTTAGATAGGATACTTAAAGCACAAGCAACAATAGAAAACAAATATAAATTGGACTTCATCAAGATTTTTTTTAAATGTGCTTTAATAAGCATCATCAAGAAAGTGAAAATCCACATCATGAGAGAAAATTTTTTGCAAATCCTATACTATCTGATAAAGGAATTGTATCCAGAATATATGTATATAAAAATGTTTACAACTTAATAATAAAAGACAAATAACAATTTAAAAATGAACTAAGGATTTGAATAGACATTTTTACAAAGAAGAGATAATAAGCACATAAGAAGATGCTCAACATAATTAGCTACTTAAAAAGTGCACATCTAAAGCACAGTAAGATACCACTTCAAACCCACTAGGATGGCAGTAATCAAAAAGAAAGAATAACAAGTATAGGGAGGAAGCAGAGAAAATGGAACACTCATTCATTGATGGTAGGAATGGTACATAATGGTAAAATGGTACATATATTTTTTGGGGGGAAAAGTGTAGCAGTTCCTCAAAGTGTTAAGCTTAAAGTTGCTATATGACCCAGCAATTCTACTCCTGGGTATCCACCCAAGAGAATATAAAACATATGTATACACACACACACAAAAAAAAAAATTGTGTCCATAAATATTCAGAGCAGCATGAGTTCACAAAGGTCAAAAAGTGGAAACAATCCAAATGCCCACCAACTGATAAATGGATAAACAAAATATACAATGGAATATTATTCTAAACTAGAGGCTGTTGCAGGAATATTCCTGCGAGAATAGGGCTTGCTGCGGCAGTCTTCACGGCCCTACCTGCTTCCCTTCCTTCGCCGCCGCCCCCCCTCCCTCCCCCCGTCTACTTGCTTCTCCGAAGCTTTGCTCCCTTCTGCAGCACTTGGCTTCTTTCTATGCTGTCTTCAGTCTTCGTTCTGCACGTGGATATGCAAATTAACTGCCACCTTGGTTGGGTTAATTTGCATACTTGCTTCTGAGTGGCTGGTGGGTGTGGCTCATGGGCATAGTGGAGGTATGGTCAATTTGCATGTTTCTCTATATTAGATAGGATAATAAAGAGGTAATATGCAAATTGACTATCATTCCAACACATAAGATGTCCACCCCCATGTAGTCAAAGGTGGCCACCACAAGATGGTTGGCAGGGAAAAGCCGTTGTGGGTGATCAGGCCAGCAGGGGAGGTCAGTTGGGAGGAACGAGGCCTACAGGGGAGGGCAGTTGGGGAGGGACCAGGCCTGCAGGGGAGGACAGTTAGGGGTGACCAGACCATCAAGGGAGGGCAGTTAGGGGTGACCAGGCTGGCAAGGGAGGGAAGTTAGGGGTGACCGGGCCAGCAGGTGAGGGTAATTGGGGGCAACCAGGCCTGAAGGGAGGACAATTAGGGGTGACTGGGCCAGCAGGAGAGGGCAGTTGGGGGGGACCAGGCTTGCAGGGGAGGGCAGTTGGGGGTGACCTGGCCAGCCGGGGAGGGCAGTTAGGGGTGATCAGGCTGGCAGGCAGAAGTGGTTGGGGCATTAGGCAGGCAGGCAGGCAAGTGTTTGAGAGCCAGCAGTCCTGGATTATGAGAGGGATGTTCAACTGACCGCTTATGCCCTATCCCACCTAAACGGGCAGTCGGACATCCCTCGAGGGGTCCCAGATTGGAGAGGGTGCAGGCTGGGCTGAGGACCAACCCACTCATCCCCATGCATTAATTTCATGCACCAGGCTTCTAGTATTTCAATAAAAAGGCAATGAAGGATTGACACATGCTACAACATAGATGACCCTTGAAAATACGATATTATATGAAAGACATAAGTGAAATCATATAATACGTAGATTTTTAAAACTGGCTTTTATATGAAAGAAGCCAGTTTTAAAAATCTACGTATTATATGATTTCACTTACGTGAAATTTCCAGAATAGATAAAACCATATAAATAGAAAATGGATTAGTGTTGGTCAGGACCTGGGGGAAGAGGAATGTGGGAAGTTACTGCTAATGTGCACGGGATTTTTGGGGGGTGATGAAAATGTTCTAAAATTAGACAGAGGTGATAGTTTCAAACTCTGTGGACATACTGAAAGCCGAATAACAACTCAACGTTTCTCTCTCCTCTCTCCCCCTCTGCCTCTCTCTAAAATAAAGTAAAATAAATAATAAAAGTTCCCATTTCTCTGCAACAAGAATTGGTCATATTTAATCCTATGAATGAAGCAAAAAAATGAGTGTATCTTACTTGCTCTTCAGTATGTTTTCTATCATAAAATAACCCTGAGGGGAAAAAAAATCCCCAAATTAGTAGAAGTGTCTAGGATCAAAGCCACTTTTAAATGGTGAGTTTTATGGCATATAAATTATATCTTAAAGCTATTATCAAAAAAATTCAGGCACCAAATAAATAAATAAAGTAAAATACAATAAAATTCAGGCACATGTGGGATTAGAATGATGGACTCTTTGTTGCCTTTGTAAGTTGCTACCGGAACTAATCATAAAGATAAGAGTATACATATAACAGCTTATTTTCCTTAAAATGTCCTCCTTCTTTGTTTTCGTCTCTGTTTTATTGATGGATGCTAGACATGCTTTTGTGTTTGCTGAATGAACCTTTTTATTGCTTCATCATTTGTGTAGCCAAGGAGAATGGAAAGAAGTAACCTTAAAGAGGAATGCTCAATTTGGAGAAGAGATTTTGATCATTGGCTGCTGCCTTTTGAAAGAATTCGCCTGCATGATTCCTTTGTATATTATAAAAACAATCAATTTAGGGAAGATTTGGGTTTCTAATTAAAGTTTCAAACCTCCAGGGATCTTTAGTGGAAATGAAAATGCCTTTCTCGTAAAATTGTGGGCCCAGATTTGTTTAATTGGGGGAAATATTTTTCTCTTCTTAAAGAAAATCTCACCTGCAGTTCCTTTTAAAGCCACGTTCGTTTTCCAAGGTCTAAGAATCTTTTATAAAAATGGCATGTTGTCAGTATTTGTTAAGTCTACTGGTAATAGCATATGTATTATGTCTGTTTAATTACTGTTACAGTCAAGGAAATTGTGGTCATGGACTTTCTCCAGCATTCTACCTGCTGAAACGAAAAATAGTTTGACAGTCCTCTTGGGGAACTGGCTTAGAAGGAAAGGTTGGGATCCTTGTTTAAACATCCTTAGCATGCTCACATGGGGGCCTCTGACCCTCCATGGTGTCTGCACATGCGCGCTGCCTGCCATCTACGGAATCAAGCATGCTGTGCTAGGCTCCCTTCGATGCTTTTGCCAAAAAGCAGTTGCCAAGGAATGTGTTTATATCGTTTGAGATCCAAGGGCTGGGGACTGGAAAATAATGGGGGTTCTGGCCTTGCCCTCACCTCCTGCCTTTGCTGCTTGCAGGAAGATCTGTCTGCACTGCAAGTGCCCGCAGGAGGAGCACATGGTGACGGTGATGCCCCTGGAGATGGAGAAGACCGTCAGCAAACTCATGTTCGACTTCCAGAGGAACTCCACCTCGGACGACGACTCGGGCTGCGCCCTGGAGGAGTACGCCTGGGTCCCGCCCGGGCTGAAGCCCGAACAGGTACCGCTCGGAGGAGGGGACGTGGCGGGTGCCTTTTGCCTTTGCCTGGCCCGTCCGGTTCAGAAGGAAGCGTTGACTTGGCTGATTCTGGGAAGTAGTTGGGGCTCCGTGGGTTGGAGGTGGCTGAGGCCACGGTGGGAAATGAGGAAGAGAAATGAAACGGAGCCTTGTGGGAGCCATCGCTTTCATTCATTCCGTATTTCCATGAACTGTTAACAGAAGACGGCCTAGCAACTTCTCAGAAATGTTGGCTTTGGAACATTCGATGGCGAATCATTAATTTGGGAGAGGGAAGGGAGATCTGCCTTGACCGTGAATCCTGAGGTTAAGATTCTCTGTAAAGCAGAGTGAGGAAATGTGGATTCATTCGCCTGTTCCCCCCCAGTGATTTATAGGCGCTGTGTTTAAATATTACTCTTGGCCTTGCTTTACAAAGAAAGACATTGGCATTTCCTGAAATATTTTGGCACTACCCACAGGCTGTAAATATTATTGGCTCGATGAGATGAACTTGGTTTTTTCTGTTCACTGCATTTCCCCCGGTAACATACAGCCTCTGCTTTGCATTTCTCGGTACTTGGAATTTTCTCTTCCACCGGCCTCAGTGTTGGCTTAGAAGCCTCTGCTTTCGGCTAGGTATTTCCATGATCTTCTCTCGCATCTGTTATCAGTGAGGTGCTGTCCGTGTCCCCACCTGTTGTCAGTGGAAGCGAGCTTTGTGGGGTGTCGCTGGAATAAGCATTTCTGAGAGGATGAGGTATCTATGGAAAGTTTTATTTCTGTGGAAGTAAACCCCTGAGTTTCCAAGGTCCCAGTTCCCTCTGTCCTGCCGTGGAAAAGACCCATTTGGCCTTCAGCAGAGCTAGGGTCAGAGCCAGTGCCAGAATCTCTGTTCCACGTTTGCCCCGTCCAGTCCAGCATCTGGCCAGTTAAGCCTGTGTTCCCAGCTGCAGCCCACGGTGTGAGGGATCCAGATGGCCGTGGGCCATGTAGCTCCTAGAGCCACCTGGCTGTGGAGGGAGCACCCATGAGCGCGAGGAACCAGGAGCAAAGTGAAAGGAACAGGAGAGCAAGAACTTTGCCTGGGGAGTGTGACCTTCCAAGATTTCGCACACTTGTGGTGGCTCAATCCCCTGGGCAATTATCTTTATTCCCAGATCAGACTGACTGGCGAGCATCCTCCCCATGTGACCCAGATTTCACTGCACATGCGCCTATCCCTCCCTTGTTTTTCCCCCCCATCTCTCCTTCCCTCCCCCTCTCCCCGTGATGTGCAGGGCATGGACAGGTGGCTCCCCAGAGAGTGTGAAGTTGCAGCTTCCTGGTGAAGCTACCCAGATGGCCTTGCTTATATCTGGCCTTCCCTCTGCTCCTTAACTATTAATATTAGCGAGCTGGTTACTACACTAACACATCTTTAAGAGGCAGGTTTACCAGGATCTTAAGTGTTTGACCACTGTTCCCTTCCTCTGACACACAGAGCTTCTTGTTCTGCAGCTTTTTATGTCTGACAGAATGTTTTGAAACTTAAAAAGCCCTGAAATTTCAAGTAAGGAACTTTAGATATGGTTATGCTTTTAGAAAAAGTTCTTTTCTTTTTTAAATAACTCTTTATTGTTGAAAGTATTACATATGTAGAAAAAGTTCTTTATGATAAGAAAGACCCAAAAACCTGGCCAGTGTAGCTCAGTGGTTGAGTATCAGTGTAGGAACCAAAAGGTCACTGGTTTGATTCCCTATCAGGGCACATGCCCAGGTTGCAGGCTCGCTTCCCAGTGGGAGGTATACAGGAGGCACCCAACTGATGATGTTCCTCTCTCATTGGAGTTTCTATCTATCTCTCCCTCTCACTAAAAATCAATAAAAAAATAATATTTAAAAAAAAAAAAGAAAGACCCAAGAATTCACCAACAATTTAAGGGTGGGACCCTGATAACATTGCTTTGATTGGCCATTTCTTACTTTTTTCTTCCAATACTGAGGTTGCAATTTGGCTGATGAAATCAACCACACAGGGCAAGGCTTCTTTAGCCAGCGAAGTATTATTTACACTTCTGACTTAGTCAATAAGATGTGGGGAGGTAGAGGAGGGCATGGGGGGATAAATGGTGATGGAAGGAGACTTGACTTGGGGGTGGTGAACACACAATACAATATACAGATGATATGTTATAGAACTGTACACCTGAAACCTGTATAATTTCATTAACCAATGTCACCCCAATAAATGCAATAAAAAATAAAATTCTTGAGCCATGAGGAAAAGAATACTTTAATTACTAATGCTTAATAATTAGGAATTTTTAGTTAAGAGTTTATGCTTATGGCCCTGGCCATTGTGGCTCAGTTGGTTGGGTGCCATCCTGTGCTTTAAAGGGTTGTCGGTTGGATGTCCAGATTGTGTGTTGGGGGAGGGTGGTAGAGGGGAAGGCGTAGGAAGCAGCTGACTGATGTTGGGCTCTCACATAAATGTTTCTCTAAAAATCAATAAAATATTCTTTTAAAAAATCATGAAAATTTGAGGATCTGAATTCTCATTTCTGCCAGGAATGGTGTTCTGGCCATTGCGTTGAGAGCTGGCATTCTTTCTGGACAGTTTGATCTCTATAAGTCACCCTAGTCTCCTCAAAGCCCACTTTACCCCTGTGTGGTACCTTCCTAAGCCCTGCAGATACTTCAGTTTTGTGATCTCTATTCTGATTCCTACCATGGAGAAAGTATCTCAGAATAGAAACATTCACAGGAAATAATGCCCATGAGAATCGAAGGGAACTTGTATAATAACAGCAAGAAATGAGTGTTTTCTCTCTGTTAGTAGGTTGAAGTTATATATTGTCCTGTTGCAGTAAGGACTATATTATTAAAGTGTAAGTTTAAGAAGAATGAGAGGATGTGAGTTTGTCTGTAAAACCCAGATGAGGTGGTGGGTGACTGAGGATCTTTGTTTGACATCACCATTCTGCCCCTGGTACTTGAGCAATGAGTTTTCACACCTCGATACATCTGTGAGCTTGTTTCATTTCTGTTCTAACCTCATTTTCAGCAGCTTCTGAGAGACCCATCCTTCTTTTGTTCCCTTTGCTTCCTGCTGAATTGGGCCCTGAAATTTCAAAGTTAAACTGTTTTCAGTTCCCTGCTTACGTAGATTTCTTTTTTAAGATGGTTAAACATCAGTCTATGATGTTCAGATTCAGGCAAAATGTTCTATTGAGCCAAAGAATAGACAATTGCAGAAGCTAGTTCTTTGTTACATTCCCCAATTTGAAGAGTGAGGGATTATGGCATTTGGAGGCCACTTTGACTCATTCAAAACGAAAGTCTTTGGGAAGTATAAAGCAACGTTCTTTGATTTGTTTTGAAAGAACATGATTAATGCTATCAAACAAGTGGTTTGAATTATGTCAGATGAAAGGATATTCCTCTCTCATAATTTTGTTGCTCTTTGCATAGTTTTCTCTATTCCCTACACTTACTCAGACCTCTGTGACACAGATACTTATAAAGGGAAACTGTCTTCAGAGAGAAACTGTCTCTTCAAGCTATTTGAAGGGCTCTGTACTTGCCTAATAAAATATGTCTATATTAAAGATATTTGTTGCATGAAGGAAATGCACTTTGAATTTGTAAATTATGAGATTCCTTGAATTGTGTAGGTTTTTAAAAAATTTAAATGTTATCCAGTATGTTCTAAGATTAGAAAAGTTTGGGTCCTAAATGCCTCTCACTAATAAAAGTTTAGTATCGTGTTAATTGTCTCTGGTTTGAGAAAAGCTGTTTTTCTACCAAGAGAAAGTATAATGAACATTAAAATGCTTTGTGCTGCAGGCAAAATATGACTAGTCCGGGTTGGGAGCAATGTGCTTCCTTTCCTTTCCGTTGGAAACCTTTCATTTTAGCCCCTGGCGTGGGGTTGGTTAGTAGACCTTCAGGTGACACTCTTTATTATTCCATTTCTTCTGAGAAATGCCTTCAATTAAATACAATGCAATTGAAAGTCACCTCCCACTTGGGGGGCATTCTTGAATGTGAGCACTTCATTTTAGAAAAATCTACTCCCTGTAAAACCCAATTTCCTTAACGTAGTCTGAAATCTAATCAGCATCACAGAGGGTGCCAGCGAGGACAGGCTGGGTTCCTGTGATGTGCGATGACTGGCCTGGAAAGTACCAGGGAGATTGCTCAGATCCTCTGTCTTTGCTTCCTCCAAATGTGTCTGATGCCACCAGAGAGCCTTGCGGTAGCGAACAGAGAGCTGGAGTCTGCTCTGATTGGCCATTGAAGTCTGCTAGACTACGCCAGCTTCTCTTCAAACCCAAACACTTAATGATGTGCTCTGTCTCCCAGGGAGGCCATGGTCATCTGACAGCACATAATCCTCCGGGAAGGAGGTGGGGGTGTTCAACAAGCTCATGAGACAGGCCCGTGGTGAGCAGGGTTTCTCAATCTCAGCCCTGTTGGCAGCGTTAGCTGGGTAAGTCTTTGGTTTTGAGGCCTCCTGCGCTTTGCACAATGATTGGCAGCATCCCTGGCCTCTACCCACTAGATAAACCGGTAACACATGCCGTCCTCCCCCCATTGCTGGGAAAACGAATCATGTCTCCAGACATTGCCCAATGTCCCAGCGGAGTAGGGGGAGGAATGTGGATTGAGTGTCCCTGGCTGAAGGTGATATTAAAACCTGGAGTATCTGGCAGCAAAATTCTGATCCAATCAAGACAAAAAAAAAAAAAAAAAAAAAAAAAAAGGAGGCCTCGATGCAGCACACATTTACGGAACTCCCGCCGTGTTCTCTCTGCGGCATAATGGCTGCTGCCCGTGAGGGGGTCAGGTGTGTGGCAGAGAGAAGTGTGTTCCAACCTTTTTGCGTGTGTATATAACAAGTGCCTGTGGATATAGGAGTACATTTCTGGGGGGGTTTTTTTTGGACAAAAATGTGATGGTGCTACCCACTTACTGTGTTTTTTTCCCCCCACTTCGTGTATTGCGAGGAGGATTTTTCT